CCCCACCTCACAGGCCAGCCAATCTAGGGCCCAGGATTAGGGTCACAGTCCCCTCCCTGTGGTTCATGGTTGCTGTGTGATTCCTCCTGGTGCACTTTGTACAGCCCGCGATCATGCAGTGCGGCTCCTGGCTCTGCTGGGAAACGGGAGGTGTTCATCGCCCCAATAGACAAACACAAATAACGGATCATTGACAGTTTAGAAAGACGTCATTTGGACAAATATTTGCTCTTTTATTTTTATTTTTTTTTAAGTTTTCAGCAAACTGAATGGTTGAAAAAACCGTGAGTCAAAGACAACCCAGAACACCGACCCGGGGTGCCTGGAACGCTTTGGGGCTTGGGGGCAGAAGCCCAGGGGAGACTCACAGCTGGAGGCCGCCTTCGTGACACTCGTGTGAACGTGGGAAACCCCCACTCTTCTGCCGGATGAGGAGCAGGGATCTGAACTCGGGTCTCCCCCATTGCACGAGAATTCTCTGGCCACTGGGCACTGGGATCACAGCCAGCCCTCCGGACAAGGGCGCCCTGGTGGGTGAACTTGAATTTGGTCCCCAAACCCTCCTGAACCCCTCTGCCTCCTCCCCCACCATTGTCCTGACCTTCCTTCAGTGACCTTGCACCCCAAGCCTGCCCTGCTGCTTGCCCCTTCACCAAAGCAACCCCTGACCCCAGTGCCCAACCGGTAAGGCCAGCCCTGTGCCCCACGGCTGTCCATGCTAGGCCAGGGGATTCGTGAGCATTGCAGGCAACACTTCCTCCCGGGCCCCTGCCGGCCATGCTGGACAGGGACAGAGCTCACCCCCTGTGGGCAGGCAGGAGGAGCAACCCGGACAGGGTGTCGGGGAAGAGCCTGTTGGCTCACAGGGAGCAGGCTCGGGTTGCCGACTTTCCAATTACACAAATACAAAGACTTTTGCATCACCCCATCCCCCCTTTCTCCAAAGCTTTATAAAGACATGCAAATGGCCACGCTGGGTCAGGCCAACGGTCCATCCAGCCCAGTGTCCTGCTGCCCACAGCAGCCAATGCCTGGTGCCCCAGAGGGAATGAACAAAACAGGGAATCTTCTCTGTTGCCCGTTCCCAGCTTCTGACACCAGCTGGGTCACCATTCCGCCCCATCCTGCCTCGTAGCCAGTGACGGACCTCACCTCCATGAATGTATCGAGCTCTTTTTTGAACCCTGATAAACTCTTGCTCTTCACAACATCCTCTGGCGAGGAGTTCTGTAGATGGACTATGTGTGGGGTGAAGAAGTTCTCTCTCACCCTCGGTGGAGAAAGAACAGGTTAGGAACTATTTAGAGAAGCTAAACGTACATGAATCCAAGGGTCTGGATTTAATGCATCCGAGGGTACTGAGGGAGTTAGCAAATGTCATTGCAGAGTCTTTACCCATTATTTTTGAAACTCGTGGAGATCGGGAGAGGTCCCAGGTGATTGGAAAAAGTCCAATGTAGTGCCCATCTTCAAAAAAGGGAAGAAGGACGATCCAGGGAACTACAGAGCTGTCAGTCTTACCTCAGTCCCTGGAAAAATCATGGAGAGGACCATCAAGGAATCCATTTTGGAGGACTTAGAAGAGGGGAACCTGATCAGCAGGTCTGACACGAGCCCACCCTACTGCCGCAGGAGAGCTTCCACAAAGCAGACACGAGGTCCAAGTGCCCAGGCCGAACAGACGCAAGCAACACAAGGATGGAGGGATGCAATTAGAACGCTCACGGCACAAAAGAGGATTCAACCAGAGCGCGAGAGTGCTCCGTGCCCCCTCCCAGCCCTGGCCCACCTTGTCCAGTGACCCCTCTGCAGCTGCGCCCATTCCGGGTGGTTCTGAGGGGGAAGACGGATAACAACAGCCACACAACCAGAATGCCCTGGGGGGGAGGGGACATCCCCCCACCCCCACCCCAGATGGTGGCTGGCTGAAAGCCTGAGCATTGGAAACAGCAAACACCAACAGCAAGAAACCATCAGGGCTGCTGGGCCCTGCTCCCCCCATCACAAAGCAACCCCACCGGACAATCCCACCCATTGCCCCTATGGCAATGCCCCTATGGCAGAACCAAGCACCATCTAAACCATCCCTGACAGGTGTCTATTCTGCTCTTCAATATCTCCAGTGATGGAGATGCCACAACCTCCCTGGGCAACTTATTCGAGCGTTTCACCACCCGGACAGGCAGGAAGATTTTCTTGCTGTCCAACCTAAACCTCCCTTGCTACAATTTAAGCCCATTGCTTCTTGTCCTGTCCTCAGAGGCCAAGGAGAGCAATTTTTCTCCCTCTTTGTAACACCCTTGTAAGTATTGACAAAGCCTCCCAGCTTTGTATTATCAGCAAATCTCATTCGCACATGCTTACTTTTGTACCACGTTCATTAATAAACCTGCTAACTGATTTGTCCCAAGACCACTCCTTGGGGAACCCCACTCATAAGCTCCCTCCAGTCCAACAGTTCGCCTTTCAGCACGGCCGCTTGACTTCTCCCCTGTCTTGCCATTTCTTACCCGCCAACACCCATCAATCTCTTGGCTGAGCCGTCCGTTGTTTTGCCGTTGACCAGGATCGTGATGCTCAGCCACCTGGCTGTAGGGACAACTCCAAGAGGGATTGTTTCTTCAGTGCCCTTGGAGGCAGGGGCGAGCACACACACTGCCCCGTGTCTTTGGATACTGACACCTGCCATCCCCTGCAGCCCCGGTTAGTCACGAGGGCTGGGGAAGAAGTGTGAGGAGCTAGGCCCTCCCTTCTCTCTGCTCATTGGATAGCGACCAGGCAGCTCCAGAAAGAAGAGTCCGAGGTTCCCACATAAAGGGGCTGCACTTTGCTGGGGCCTTGCAGAGCAGATGTGGGGGGAACAGAGCTCCTGGCACCACCTCTCTCCATGGTGACCACCCGGCACTGGTCTCTGGAGACAGTTTTCACATCAGCAACCCCAGACATGAGTTTAATAACAGCAACAATTTTATTGGTATCGGCAAAGCATCAGAACCCATCGCCAGCCCCGTTTGCATCCACAGCCCCGGCACGTCAGTGTATCACTAGAAGCTGATTGTGCCCACGACCGAATGCGCGTGCGGCTTCACGTTGCGATAACGGGAAGCAGTAAACACGTATTTCGTAAGTACAGCCACGTGCTTTCTAGGAGGTACATTGACTGGCAAAGGACAAACCGCAGGTAACAATAAAAATAAATCACAAGCAAAACTTTCTCCACTTTCGGCCCAGTACATCTGTTATTCACAAACCTTACTGCAAGACCTTCCATGGAATGCTCAAAGCGTTAAGCTAACCCAGCCATGGCCAACACATGCCTCGTGAAACGGCACCTGCCTCCCAGCTCCCTGTGATCATCGGGGCAGGGGAGCCTTCTGGTGCAGCCATTCAAAATGGCATTTTCAAGATAGTGGCTGCCAGTGGCAAACTAAAGTGGCCAGAAAGCTTGTAACCACATTTCTTAAAGGGGCAGTCTGGGAGCTCTTTTTTTTTTTTTCTTGACAACTTTCCCCCCGGCTCTCTGTGCTATATCCACAAATAGTTTGGCTCTTTGCCTGTAACGGGTTGGCCACGCCTGAGTTAACCAAACCATCTGCACTCCTGGTCAGCCCAGTTTGAATAGCAAGTAATACAGTTTGAACCTCTCTAGTCCAGAACCCTTGGAACCTGGCCAGTTCCAAACCAGAGAATTTGCCAGACTATGGGAGGTCAGTATTATCTAGCAGCATTACCAGCACTTTCACTGCTTGCTGGGCTGTTAGAGGACACTTAGGGGTACATTAGAGCTAAATAACAGCACAGAACATTGTGAGCCAGGCCTGGTGGCTGTAAATAAACTTTACGGGGCCACAGGAAACTTGGCCGCACCCATGAAAAGTGGATTTCTGGCTCACTAACATTATTCCACACGATGGATATTTCCAGACCAGAGAGTTCTGGACTAGAGAGGTTCAACTGTACAACAAACCCGGACAAAGGGTGGGCTGGAGCAGGATTGCTTTTGGGGTTGTTTACTGGCACATATTCTAAAGAGTAAGGTGATCCTCTCACACACATCACAGTCATGCTGCAGTTCGGAGGCAGGCTGCAAGTGCGGGTAGATTACTTTTGATTTCGCTGGCCAGACATCAGCTTCCTGGAGACTCCACCATGATGGTCCTTGGGAGATCCCTTCAGATCTGCAGGAGGCTTTACTTCCTCTGGGCCGGTCCCAGGCTTCTGCTGTGATGTTACATTTTGTCCGAGAGAGAGAGATTTTCCAGCTGCTTCTCAGTTAATTTATCTGCTTGCAGGGGCTTTGTCGGCCTTCAAAGGTCATGGATTCTAAACTGCCTTTTTGGTTGGGTGTTTCTCATTCACACTCACACACATTCCACGGGTCACATACATATTCATAAGCAATATGGTTTCTAAGCCAAGCGGGGCCTCATGGCCTTGAGTAAAGAAATTGCATTGTACTAAAGGTAACATACCAATGGCACGATAAAAAGCTTCACAAATGATAACTAAGAAAGCCAAGGTCAGGGAAGGAGGGAAAAGCAGAGGAATGTGTCTGGTCAGCTAGACACCAGTGAACAGGGGGCAGGGGGTGATGTCCAACTGGTTACAGTTTCTCCTTTAAAAAACTAAGTATTTCTATGTAAATACATTCTCCAAACTGCAATCAACTGCTAAATATAACAACAGTGAGGGAAACCCACGAGTCTGGGACACTGGTGTCTAAAGGGCTGTATCTGAGTAGAGGTCTGTCCTTTCCCTCTGGCCCAGCACTGGAGAGGGAGTCTTGGGTTCTGGCGGTGTAACACCAACAGGCAGGACTGAACCTGGGACCTCTGGAGCTTTGGGCATGAGCCTCCACAGCTTGTGCTAAAAGCCAGCTGGCTCCCAGCTAAGGCTGTAGAGCAAACTCCTCCTCTCTCTCTCTAAATGGTCTCAGTACCACTCGGTGGGGCAGGGAACCGCACTTAGTAGATCTGGGTTACAGCTAAACTTAGGGGGCGATTCCCTGACTGCACAGGCAACGTTCGTCAATCTGCCGTGCTAAAAATAGGAGCGTAGCCAGGAGCAGCAGTGGCACTGTTTGGACACCCCGAATACATAACCCTCAGGGAGGCTGGCCTCTGCCGCTGCCGCTGCTGGCCGTGTTCTCACGATGGCACGGCGATGTTTAGCGCCATCTCGAGGTCTGGTCTCAGCACACAAGTCGTGGCTCCCCTCGGAACAGCGGTTACTGGATGCGGATTGTTCTTCCCAGGCTGAATTCTCTTCCTTGGAAGCTCGGGAAGGTTCTCACCCAGGTCTCGGTGTCTGCTCCCTTCTGATTGAAATGCCTCTTCCTCGTTCTCCCTCGTGATTGGAAACTCACGCACAAAACCCCGTGGGATTGTCGCCTTCCACGCTGTTCTCTACCTGCATCGTTCTAAGATTGAGTCTCCCGTTTCTACGTCTCCCGTTTTCTGTCGCTCTACCAGAGAATCTACAAGTCACGTTTCTGTGTTTGCTTCCTCTTCCGGATGCACTGATGAGTGTAAACCAGGAGCGGGCAATAATTTTTTTTGCGGGGGGCTCTTCATGAACTTTGGTTCATGGTCTCAGGCCAACTTCGCCTCTCCCCCCTGGAAGGGGTGGGCCTTGGGTGGTTCCCACACGCTCCTGACAGGGGCAGGAGACTTCCTGCGGTCCCCCGCCCCCAGGCCAGTTAGGACCTGGGAGTGGAGGAGTGTGCAAAGTCATTTGCTGTTCAAAATAGCTGGTGACTTCCTCTCGGTGCCACCCACCCCTGGCGGGGGAGGGAGCTACCAGCTGCTTTGAACAGTGAATGACTTTGCGCACTGCCCCACTGCCTGGTCTTAGATTGGCTTAGGGCAGGGTGGGCCACAGGCTGGATCAAATGGCTTGAGGGGCCGGATTCGGCCCACAGGTGTAAACTGAGTCAGGCTGTTCATATGGAGTCATCCCTCCCACGGAGGCTATTCCTGTGGCTTGTGGCCTCTATCTCGTGATTTCAGTCACAGCTTCCTGATGCAGGAGCACAGAGAGGCACAGCAGCAGAGCAGGTACATACATGGCGACATGCATGCCTTTGCCATGTATGCGTGGGGCTTGTGGTTGCACACGTTTAATTCAGGCATGTTACCGGTGATGGCAATTCGCTCTGGGAACAAACCACCAAAGCAAGGGATAGATTTTGTCGCAGAAGGGGGAAGGTATCTTAGCAACGCAGGGCTCGTTTCATGCTGCTGGCATCCGTGTTGCAACACCGGGGATTCATCTGGCCCTTGGAGGCAGACGGTTGTAACAAGCCCCTTGTTGACTCTCACAGATGCTGAATAAGAGGGCTCAAGAATTTAAAAGTTGCCCAAGATTCTCCTCGAACCATGTCTTAACTTCTGCGAAAATCTTTTCAAATACCTCCAAAATAATTTGCATTATCGCATTTTCAGCTTCTTCCCTGAGTCCTGCAAGCTTTTCAGCATAAACTTCCTCCATTTGTTCTAGACATCTCACTTTCGTTTCTTTCAAAACCTCTTTCATGTCCCCGATGGCCTTCTCTCCCTTTGGGCGCTCCTTTTCCCCCGAGCAGAGCTGCTCCTCAAACTCGCGTTTTATTTTCTCTTTCTCTCTTGCCAGCTGCTCCGCGTAGCCTTTCTGCAGCTCCGCCGTTTTCTCCTGAAGCTTCTTCTCGGTGTATTGATACATCTCGTTTGTGTAGCACGTGCCTCCGTTCTCCTTCACCATCCCCTCCACCATCCGCAGCAGCTCGTCCACCTGGGCGTCCCGCTCCTCCCCCGTGGCTCTGTTGTTGAACGCGCAGTATCGGTCCCCAAACTTCCCTACCAGCTCCCCAATGCCTTGGGAATCCGCCTCTTTTAAGAAATCTTCTAGTTTGTGGCCATCCAAATCATCCTTCCGAGTGAATAACAGGATCATGTACCTCATGGCCTCGGCTCCAAAAATGCCTTGGATGCGTGTGACTGCTTTTTTTTCCTCGTCGGTGTAACGGGTCAAGGGCACCACTAACACGATGGCGTGGGGCCCTGGGGAGGAGAGGGCAATACAGCGACTGATCTCCCGACACGTGTCTTCCACCGGGACACATGTGTCAAAAATGCCAGGCGTGTCAACCACCACCACCTTCCTCCCTTTCCAGGGGCTTGCCCTCTTCCTGCATTTCGCAGTGACGGACTTGGCTGAGAGGCGGGACTCAAACACTTTCTCGCCGAGGAGGGTGTTTCCTGTCGCGCTTTTCCCCGCTCCCGTTTTACCTACAAGGATGAGTCTCAGTTGGGCTTCCTCATCCTCTGGGGCTGTTGGGAACAGGAGCGAGAAACAGTCACATTACAAAGGGAACCAGGTAGAGCTGTAGCACCGGCACTCCAGGTGACAGGTACTTCCTCCCTCTGTTATAAATCGGGAGGGTTCCCCCTTCTCTCTCCACTCTGCTCATCTGAGGAAGTGGGTTTTGCCCATTAAACGATTTGTTATCTCTATGGTGCGACAGGACCATTTGTTTGTAACGTTACAGATTAACCCGGCTCCTCCACTGAGATGCAGAGTGGGGGGCAGGTTTGCGGGTTTCTGCTTATGTCACTAGAGATAGCGAGATTTTTAAGACTCGGCTTGACAAAGCCCTGGCCGGGTTGATTGAGTTGGGATTGGTCCTGCCTAGAGCAGGGGGCTGGACTTGATGACTCCTGAGGTCTCTGCCAGCTCTATGGTTCTATGATCACTTTGAAACTGGACAGGACAATGATTTAGAGCCCAGTCCCCCTCCCATTCAGCTCACTGCACTTTGGGAATCTTTCCGCCAATGTGGCTAGGAGTTGGGTTGGATCTCGGTGCACTGACTCCTCCCCTCTGAGAACGTGGCTTCAGGACACGTGACCCTTGGTTTACTGGCCTCATCAGAGTCACCGGTGGACACTGGTCCACGTTGCAAAGGACCAAGCATTCGGGGCCATCGCTGCACTGGGGAGACACAGGATCGGAACAGGGGTGCCTGGCCGGCCAGGAATGCGGCGCACGGACAGTCGGGTGAGCCCGGAGTATCCTTCACAGTGGCTGCATGCACAGTCCTTGGCTCTGGACTCATGGGCAGCAATGACCATAAAACATCCCCAGCTATAAAAACCCGTTTTAAAGCCTCTTCTGTGGCAAGAGTCCGTGCTCTCTGCGACCTCGTTCCTAGGGGGCTCTTAGGACACTGACGCCCGGGGCAGGACGTGAATCTCAAAGGGGAGGCGCTCACCTGCAGACAATACATCTTTATGAATTTATGTTTCTATTCAGTAAAAGGGAAACTTTGAGAGGTAGAGGCCTGATTCTTATTTCCTTACCATTCATTTGTTCTGCCTGTCTCCCGCTTTCCATCTTCGGTTGCAATATCTGTTGAAAAACAATTGTATTGAAAATCTGGAAGAAGAACATACCCCAGGAATTCGGATATCGGACACACCTCGGTAGCCATGTGTGAACACCCTTGTAAAGCCGCTTTTCTGCCTTGAACCTGGAAAGGCTGTGGTGGAACAATACGTGCAAAAGAAGAGAGGTGTGAACGATGTTGGGGGGTGTAAAACGATAGGGGTCTGGAAGGGTCTTTTGGCAGCGGTGGTTAAGGATTCAGCTACAGCAGGCATTATCCTTGGCCATGTCCTTTCCCTTTGAGGAGAGCTGAGAGAGAGAGGGGGAGGCAGGAGGAGGAGGAGAGAGAGAGACCGAGCGAGAGACTGGAGGCTCAGGAGAGAAGACCGATGTGGAGGAGAAACCTGAAAATCCCGTCTTATGATGGGCTAAATTGGCTAGTTACTAAATAAGGCTTTAGGGAAAGTCGTGATAGAAGTGTGAATTAACATACTAAAATAGATAAAAGGGTGTGATTAACACCAGGGTGTTGCCACTCCGACTGTGTTGAACGTCCGAGGTAAACATGCGTAGACAATAAAGCTGTCGTCTCTACCTCATCCGCTCCTGGGCCACCTGTTTCCTCTCTAACAAATGACACACTTTGAAGACACTTCACTAAATATTCTGAAGAAAACGTGGACTCCGTTTTGAATACTAGCCTCTAATTTTACACTTTAAACATTATCAACACACTTAAGTGAGGGTAGAAATGGCTGAAAAATGGAATTTCCATCCCATGTGCAAATTCCAGACTTGGAAATTTGTTTTTGTCTTCATTCAGGACAAAAGTTTTCAGTTTTCAAAAAAAAAAAAAAAAAGTGAAATAAAATATATAAGTTGACCCTTTCTAGGCTGTCACTGTCGGGACCTGACTAGTTCCGAACCAGAGAATTTTCCAGGCCACTGGAGATCAATATTGTCTACCAACACTTCCACTGCTGTTAGACAACCCTTAGGGTACATTAGAGCTAAAGAACAGCACGGGACCCTGAGAGCCAAGGACTGGTAGCTGTAAACAACCTTTCTAGGACCACAGGAAACTGGGCCACTCCCATGAAAAGTAAACTAAAAATCTAACTAAAAGCTAACTAAAATCATGCTGGACCATGGAAGTTTTCTGGACCCAAGAGTTCTGAACTAGAGAGGTTCAACCTGTATTATTTCAATATTTCTTAAATGAAATAGGTGAAATCTTTCATTTCAAAAACATTGAAATAGTGAATTAAACAAGATAAAATCATTAGTATTATAATGTAATTGAATTGTAAAATGAAAGTTGGAAGGACCTTAATGCAATGTATGTGCCTAAGCAGCCTTAACTCTGCCCCCTCAAAATGACAGTAGCAGCTAGGAATGATCCACATGCAGGGCAGATGAAGGTGTAGCTGTACTGAATGGTGGAGTCATTAGATGGAGCCTCTTAGTCGAGGGGTCAGTTTGATACAAGGGCCTCTGGGAATTGTCTGAGAAGTGTCAGAGAGCAGCGACTGTGATATGAGATCAGGTCTGAGATTCCCAGATGTGTGATCAAAGGAAAGAGGTGTATGTGTTCCTCAGGATGTGAGTATGTGGGATGATGGGCCGCTGCTCAGAAAGGGCAGAGTTAAGGTTGTTTGGGTGTGTACCTTAACTCGGTATTTTCTGGATTTCAGAATCTTGCGATTTGCTACATCTGACGTTCTGGAAGGACGTGAGACACTTAAGAACACTAGAAATTCATTGACGACAAGTTTTTAAAAAGAAGAGAAATGTTAGGAGCTAGTTCTTATTCACGCAGTTGTAGTTCTCACCTCAATTTGTCACTGATGTATGACTGGGGCAGCGGGTTATAACAAAACACCTCGTTTTTATACACTACATTTCATCAGTCAATCTCAATAAATCATTATCCCTATTTTAAAGGGGGGAAACTGAGGCACGCAGCAGTGACGTGATTTGTCCAAGAGAACTCAGCAGCCTAGAAGAAAAGTTGGGAATAGTCCCACTCCAGAGTCCCACTTACTAGGCCACATGGTTGTTCTGTGATTCCTCAATGTCCCTCCCTTCCCCCATACATTTTCTGTTAGGGGGAGGAGGAGAAGGGTTGTACGATTAAATGTTTGGCATGTGCCAATGTTAATAGGCCTTGGGGGACAGGCCAGTCCTCACCTATAGACAACCCCCTAATCTCAAACAAGTTCTTCCCAGTAACCACACAGCACACCTCCATCATAATCATCCAGGAACACCCCCGCAAACAGCCCTGGTGCCAACTCTGCCTACATGTCTACACCAGCGATTTCATCACTGGACCCTGGGGCGGATATAGGGCAGGGCGAGCGGGGTGGCCGCCCCGGGCCCCACGCTTCACGAAGCCCCGCCCATGTGCTGTGGCAAAGGGAGGCCCTGCGAAATTGTGCTGCCCTGGGCCCCGCGAAATGGTCGTCTGCCCCTGCTGGACCCAACCACTTCAGCCACCAAATCAGAGTCTCATTGAACTGCACATCCACTAATGTGATCTATGCCATCAAATGCCAACAATGCCCCTCTGCCCTGTACATTGGCCAAACTGGACAGTCTCCATGAGAAAAAATTAATGGACAGAAATCAGATATCCGAAAAGGCGACATACAGAAACCTACTGGAGAACACTTTAACCTGCCTGGGCACTCATTAATGGATCTCCAAGTCACCGCGTTATTTCAGGCCAATTCCACAAGCCAAATACACAGGGAAGAGTTGGAACTTAACTTCATTCACAAGTTTGATTCATATCAGAGAGGAATGAATAAAGGTATCAGCTGGCTGGCACACTGCCTTCCACATCCTAATGACTTAACCAACCAACCAATGGGTACTTACTTGTACAGGTGCAAATTGTTCTTATCAGCCTCTTGGAACTTGAACATCTAATTCACTACTTTTTTTCCTCTTTTTTCTCAACCCCCCGTCTTCCCCCCCCACACACACACACACTCACACTTCCCTTATTTATTCTTGGATCTGGATTTTTAATACTCCAGTCATCTGAAGAAGTGGGCTGTGCCCACGAAAGCTCAGGATCCCATCTCCATGTGGTGTTAGTCTTTAAAGTGCTACTACACTATTCGTTGTTTTTTAAGTTTTTCTAACAACCCGCCTGTGACCTGGGCTTTCTCCCTGGGACTCCAGCCCTTTTTCTTTTAAACAAAACAGGAGTTTTAAACAAACTCACCCTCTCCCCTTACACACACACTCACACACTCACCTCGGTGCTGCTTTCTCAGGACCGGCCGGGGGCTCTTCCTGCAAACCTCCCCCACGTCTCTGCCCTTGTGCCAAGCTGCAGCTGCTGCCGGTTTGCCAGAGCAGACAAGTTTCTCAGTCTGAGGGGATGATCCTTTTCACTCTGAGCATGGTGCCGGGAGGGGGCAGAGGGAGCGAGGGGAGGCGGGGGGAGCACCCAGCCAGTGGCTGTCCAGAATAGTGTCCCACACACTCAGCAGCAGCTCCCCATCAGCTTCCAGCAGATGATCCCACTGAACCCTCAGGCCCAGGGCCAGAACCGAATCTGGTCTGGAAAGGATTTTGAAACCTGCCAGATGTAAGCGGGGGAATGGTCCCACTATTGTGGGGAACTTTCCTGAGCTCTGTACCACCCCAGTGAAATGGGCCAGCGAAAGGATCTGAGTCCCCGCTCCCACTTCCTTTACCCCACGGCCTCCCTGACCCTGAGGGCTCCCCCTCCACTCTCCTGAGTAGCAGAGCCCTCAAAACCCCAACAAGGCTGGGCCCAGGTTTCCGGGAGCTGACTCCCCAACCTTGTAGTCTTTTAGGGCAGGGGCTAGGGTGTCCCCGCTCCGGGGTGCTCTCTGCACACTGCAGGCTTTCTTGGACCAGTGATCATCTCATACAGTTCAAAGCAAATACAATTTATTAAACAACTGATTAAAGAGAAAAGAATAAGGAAAAACGAGAGAGGTTCAATGAGAACGCACAGTCCTGCTCTGCAGCATGGGGACATCCCAAACAGCCGTCTGCAGAGTGTAAGGACAGTTCACAGTCTGGTCCTCATAGGTCCCAGGGCTCTCTCAGGCCCTGGCTGTGCTGCAAGGGGCTGCAGGTTGGACACGTTTGCTCTGGCAGTGACCACATGGCCTCAGGCTCTAGGGGGCAGGACCCCTCTCCCAGTCTGGCCTGCTGGGCCTCTTGGCTGGTGGTGTCTCCCTACCCAGAGCCTCTCCCCCCTCTTTGCTGGTCCCAGCTACTCACCACATCCAGCTGCAGAGTGTGCTGCTTTGCCCGACTCCAGCTCCTTGTGTTGCTTCTCTGCCCCCTTTGGCTCTCTGAGCACTGCCAGTCTGCTGCTCAGCACAGGGTCTGCGCTCCTTGGGCTGTGTGTGTCTGGCTCTGGTGCTGCAGGACTGCCCCTCAGCACAGCTTGCACTCCTTGGGCTGTGTGTGCCTGGCTCTGGTGCTGCAGGACTGCCCCTCAGCACAGCTTGCACTCCTTGGGCTGTGTGTGCCTGGCTCTGTCGCTGCAGGACTGCCCCTCAGCACAGTTTGCACTCCTTGGGCTGTGTGTGCCTGGCTCTGGTGCTGCAGAACTGCCCCTCAGCACAGCTTGCACTCCTTGGGCTGTGTGTGCCTGGCTCTG